TGGATAAGCTATGAACAGATTTACAATATATGAATATATGTGCAGGTTGCTATTAATAATCAGTAGTGTGCAGATAGCTAAACATGATTACAAGTGTATATGTTACAATATATGAATATATGTACAGGTTGCTATTAATAATCAGTAGTATGGAGATAAATAAGCATGATTACAAGTGTATATGTATAGTGGGTGTGTACATAATTACAAATCCCCATATGCAGTGGATATGTACAGTTCAATAAGTAAATAGTTCAATGTGGTGCAGTGAACTGTTTACTTATTGAACTGTACATATAAAATCCTGGAAATGCCACACGTATGAATTGGTTTAGCACCGTGATGGCTGCGATATTTTGTTTTGCTGTGATATATATTGCTATATGAATATGATTTCATCAGATGATTTTAATAGCTCTATTTGGGAAGATTTCATTAATTTAGATTTAATTCAACTGGGATGATCAAGTCTTTTTCTAAGCGGTGCATCTGCATAAATTATAATAAACTATGAGCATATATAAATACGACAGAGCAAAACTAAAAGTTAAATATTAAGTGCTTTGTGGTTTTCTGGGGAGCTTAACAGTATTCAGAAATTGAACAATCAAACGCAAAATAACACGGCCATCATTGTATTGGTTTAATCACTCGCTTTTCTGCCACACATAGGCCTACTGGCTACTATACAATAATACTACAACTTGTACAACAGTTTTCTTTTTACTTTTTGAGAACAGTGCCATTTTAAATGAGCTTTTAAAAACACATTCTAATTTAAACAATGAAGTTTTTTTTGTTTTGTTTTTGTTTTTTTACCTCCAAGCACAGTTAATGTTCAAACTACTTATAATGTTTAAAGTGGCTGACAATTATACATATTTTTAATAATAAGAAATAATTAATTTGCCTCCTTTTTGAGCTGTGCAGAGCTGCATCTGCTTAATTAGCCCAACTACACTTTGGTATTTCAATACTGGTTATTATGGTGGTACTTGGAGAGACCATTTTTTCTGAGGTGGTACTTGGTGAGACAAGTTTGAGAACCACTGCTATGAATTATTTAACCTTTGGTTTTTGTAAAAAGTAGTTTTTGAATAAATGTTGTACTATTAAAACATTTAAGTTTAATTTTGATTGTATACAAAAAAAGCAGTTGATATTGTCAATGCACTTATTTGGTAAAATTGCCACTTTTTACCGTCATCGTGTGTTTTTGGTCATTATAAATTCTTTGTCACTTAAATTGAGCATTGCCATAGGGCTGAATGATATATAAAAATTATATATAATAAAAAATCTGACATTGCGATATTCGGTCACACTTTATTTTGATTGTCCGCTTGTTGAATTGAGGTTACATTGCATGTACATGCCAACTAATTCTCATTCGATTACAAGGTAGACTGTTAGGTTGGTGTTAGGGTTAGTGTAAGTTGACATTTACTTGCAAAGTTTCTTATAGTCAGTTAAATGTCTGTTTAGCAACAGCGTCAACAGATATTAAGCAGACAGTCTATAAATAATCAAATGGACCATCAAAATATCCGATATTTTGTTTCGCTGCGATATGTATTGCAATATGAATCAAACTTCACTAAATGATTTGAACAGATTTATTTGGAAAGATTATATTTAATTAGATTAACTGTGATGATCAAAGTTTTTTTGTTGTTAATCTGTTAACATGGATGCCAAAAAACAAAACAAACAAAAAAAGGCTCTGCTTACGCCTGTGAAAGAGTTTTAACTCAAAACTAGCTGATAAGGATGATTCTCGTCTGGTGGAAAAACACAATTGCTCATGACCTGCAGATTTTCTTGTGTATGTACAAAAATCATGCATTCATTTACTTTCTTCTCAGTCCCTTTATTAATTACGGGTCACCACAGTGGAATAAACCACCAACTTATTTAGTATATGTTTTACACAGGAAATGCCCTTCCAGCAACCCATCATTGGGAAACACCCATACACTCTCATTCACACACACATACACTATGGACAATTTAGCTCATCCAATTCATGTATACCGCATGTTTTTGGACTTGGGGGAAATCGAAGCACCCGGAGGACTACCATACAAACACGGGCAGAGCATACAAACAGAAATGCCAATTGACCCAGCCGAGGCTCAAACCAGCGACCTTCTTGCTGTGAGGTGATCATGGTACCCACTGCGCCCCCATGATGGCTGCGATATTTTGTTTTGCTGTGATATATATTGCTATATGAATATGATTTCATCAGATGATTTTAATAGCTCTATTTGGGAAGATTTCATTAATTTAGATTTAATTCAACTGGGATGATCAAGTCTTTTTCTAAGCGGTGCATCTGCATAAATTATAATAAACTATGAGCATATATAAATACGACAGAGCAAAACTAAAAGTTAAATAATAAGTGCTTTGTGGTTTTCTGGGGAGCTTAACAGTATTCAGAAATTGAACAATCAAACGCAAAATACACGGCCATCATTGTATAAATAATAAAAGAATGTATAAAATCAATAATATCTTTGTCTTTTAACCATTAATAAATAATCTAATCCTGCGATGTGACTATTGCAGAAACACACATTGAGATATCACTGCTCAAAACATTTATTGTTCAGCACTAGTAAGCATCTCAACAAAAATAGACCCAGTGCCGAAATGACTGCCTATCACAAAACTCCTGCTCTATACTATCGCACTACTTCTGTGTGTGATATAAAAAGCTCTTTTAAAATGTTGGTTTTTGAAGTACAATGATGACATCTATTTCAATTTAAATGTGAATATTCATTCATTTTGCTTTGACTTAGTCCCTTATTTATCAGGGGTTACCATAGCGGAATGAACCGCCAACTATTCCAGCATATGTTTTTTGCAGTGGAGACCCTTCCAGCCACAACCCATTACTAGGAGACACCCCTTTACTCTTTGATTCACACACACACTCATACACTATGGCCAATTTAGTCCATCCAATTCACTTACACCACGTCATTAGACTGTGGAAGAGAGCAGAGCACCAGGAGGAAACCCACGAGAACACGGCAGGAACATGCAAACTCCAAACAGAAATGCCAAATGGCCCAGCCAGGACTCAAACCAGCCATCTTCCTGCTGTAAGGCAACAGTGCTAACCACTAAGCCACTGTGCCGCCCTAAATTAATATTTTTTTTACATAAAAACCACAGAATAAATGGGTGAAAAAGGCACACTGCAAACGTGTGCTGTCTGAAATTAAAGGCCAATTCCTGCATCTTGCTATTTTCAATAAAAATTTATAAATATTTCAGTAATAAAGCACTGGCAATGAAGATAATTGTAAAATGCAAAAGCGATTTCAGCAAGGAAACGGCTCGTACCATTAGCGGGCTGTGGGAGCCCCCTAGTGGCGGCGGGGCCCTAAGCAGCAGCTTAGTCTGCTTATAGCAGGGGTGTCCAAACTCGGTCCTGGAGTGCCGGTGTCCAGGAAAGTTTAGCTCCAACCCTAATCAAACACACCTGAACCAGCTAATCAAGCTCTTACTAAATATACTAGAAACTTCCTGGCAGGTGTGTTGAAGCAAGTTGGAGATAAACTCTCCAGGATACCGGCCCTCCAGGAGCGAGTTTGGACACCCCTGGCTTATAGGGTGTCCCCTGGCTTATAGGGCTTATATGGTTATGCTTGTGGGAACATTTGGTCTCCACAATGTATGTAAGGAACACAAGGCGCGCGCACACACACACACACACACACACACACACACACACACACACACACACACACACACACACACACACAATCACACACAGCTTTCTCAGACTCTTTCCCCTGATCTACAGCATCAAAGACAACAATCAGTGGAGTGAACTTAAAAAGCTCCACACACACAGTGCGTCAGAGAGAGCAGGGCTTTTATATATCGACTGTGAGACCTTATGAAGCAGCCAATAACTTGCCTCGGTTTCTTAGAAACCTGACATTATAAAATAGGAAGGGAATGGCCCCTGATCTGCCATCAGCTCAGCGTGTGTGTCTGTGTGTGTGTGTAATAGTGTGTGACTGTGCTTGTGTACAAATGTGTTTATGGGTACACTGAAAAAAATGATTCACTGGATTCACAATTTTTTTTTAATGTAAGTTGCAAACAATTTATATGAGCTGAATTTAAGCAAACAAATGAAATCAAGTAATGTTCAATTTAATTAGTTTGTTTAAATTGTTTCCAACAACTTGCCTTAAAATAATTTAGTAAACCATCTATTTATTCATTCATTCCTTTTTTTTTAAGCTGATATAAATCAGCTTAGCCCCTCTATTAATCAGGGGTCGCCACAGCGGAATGAACCACCAACTTATCCAGCATATGTTTTACACAGTGGATTCCTTTCCAGCTGCAACCCAGCACTGGGAAACACCCACACACTCTCATTCACATACATACACTACAGTGGTGATGTGCAGATGGCGATTATATCCACGGGCACTGTGAATAATCTGCGGGTTGGGCGGGTCGGGAAATAAAAAAAATACATAATAATTAATTGCAGGGGGTCACAGGTCAGAGTTTAATTATTAATGATTTTTGCTTTTTGTTTTTTAAACACATTTGTTAAAGCAGAAATGGAGGCAAAACCTTTCTGAGTGCCGTGTGGGAGCGTTTTAGAAAAGGTTAACAAGGTTGAATGAGGTGCTGGGTATGTAATAGGCTATGCAACGGCTCTATATGAAAGCCACAAGACCGGTAGCTACCTCAAATATGAAACATCAAATGAAACATCAATGAAACAGTCAAATGAAAGTCAGACAAGAATTGAGTGAGTGACTGAGTGTGTTTGTGTTCTTGTTTTGGTGGTTTACAAGAATAGTTTTTGTATAATGACATGGTATGACATCTTTATACTCTATTATGGTGGTTTATGAGGATATGCCGGATGTACTAGTAATTCAAAACACTTCAAAATTAAACATAAGGGGGAATTATCACATTCAAAGAGTGTGTTTGTGTGAGTGTGTTACCTGCTGGCCGTGGTAAAACACAGCTAGGAGGAACATGGCCATGAGAAGCAGAGACGTCTCCTTGGTCCCCAGGAAGCTTTTGCTGTAACCAGAGAAACGAGACAGAAAGTCTCATGAGCTCCGGAGCACATTTATCACATTTATATTGTCCAGAGTTAAGAAAAACATCTGTCGTGAATGTCATCAAGAGAGCCTTGTCGATGTAATCTTTGTGTACACTGGTTGTTAAACACTTCTCATTTATCTCTTGGCAAACAACCATCGGTTTATTCTGAAGAATGTGGAATATAAAATCTGTTTAGTTCTTATTTAGATCCTGTTTAGAGGTTGTGAAAGGTAATTTAGTAGACAGCTTTATCTATTATTATTAGTAGTAGTAATTTCACAGTGTTCTTATTAGAGAGTGTAGATTAACTTACAGTAAAATGCATAATGGGTGTACAGAGAAGAACTATATGTTGTATTATTAGTGCTTGTAGTAATACAGTAAAAGTGAAATGTAAAAAATGTAGAGGTTGAATGTTTTGACTTTACAAAATTGATGGAATAATTTCATTTATAATACAAATATACTTCTAAATTGTCAGAACAAAGGTAACTAACCTGAAATATGGTGAAAGATATGACAAACAGCCATTAAAACCTTAACAATGAACTGTCAGATATCTCATATTTTCTATAGTACTTTTTATATTTAATATTGATTTTTAATAATAATAATTGTATAAAAACATAAACGATGAGATTTTTATTTCATTCTTTGTCTTTATAAAATAGCTATATATTAATTTACATACCAATTCTCACTAGTGGCTTATTACCTGCCTATTATTAAGATACTGTCTGTTTATTAAGACTCAAAGTGAATATTCAGCATGATTTTATTCTACATCCCTAATCCTATCTAATACAGAACTTACCTACTACCTTATTAACTATTAAAAAGCAGCAAATTAGGAGTTTATTTAGGTAAAATCAAAGTTAATTAATGGTTAATTAATGGTTAAATATGGTTAATTAATAGAGCTGCAGCCTAATATATATATATATATATATATATATATATATATATATATATATATATATATATATATATATATATATATATATATATACATTCCAATCTAAGGAAATTACTAAAAATCTAAAATTACATTGAGCCTTAAAAAAGACAATTTCAAATAACTCGAACACCCCCAACCCCCCCCCCCCCCCCCCCCCCCCCCCCCCTTTCTCAATCTCAAAAAAAAAAAATCTAGGTATTGTAAAATGTCATTATATTTAAAAGGTTTAAAAATAAAACCTAGTGCTTGGAAAGACACTATTCTTACACCCAGGGATGGAAAGTATTTATGATACAAGTATTTCAAATACGTATTTTGAATACAAAATAGCATTTTGTAATTTGTATTTGATAGCATTTATAAAAATGGATTAATATTTTGTATCAAAATACTTTAGTGTCTTGTATTTTTAAAATACTGTAAAATACTTTGCAAGACATCTACATCAAGAAATATAAATGCACCCTCTGATTGGTGCTGACTGTTATTGACTTTCATTTAAAGAAGAATTGAAAAAATCTTGGAAGAAAGAGTATGCTGTACAAATAATTTTGGATGGAATGCTGATGCCAAATGTTTGTCGTTAAAACAAACAACATAAAAATAAGTCCTACAGTGGTGATTCCTACAATAATTCGTTAGCTGTTTCAAATTCCAGTAGTTCCACTGGCATCAGTGGCATTTAGTGGACTCATCAGTGCCCACTATATAGTTAATAAAGAGAAAAGATGTAAGCCTTAAGATGTCACAACATACAATATGAAACACAAATATTTAATAATCAAAAACTCCAAATACAGTTTTTACAATGAGTATTCGACAGCAAAAAAAAAAATAAAAAAAATTCAGTGAAAAAAAAAAGCAAATGAACTCTTTATTTAACACCCTTTTAAAATATCAAGAGGTTGAATAATCATTGTACAGAGATGGTGGCAATTTTACTGGCCACATTTGCTATCAAAAATTTACTTCACTAAGAAATTTTAATGGGGAAGGGACTGATTGAATAGACCTAATTGATTGAAGATTGGCAAAGAAATTTTATGCTCAAATTTTAAAATCACTAGTGCCCCAGTAAATGCTTTGAGATACGGTTTACTTTATATGCAAGTGTATTTATTAGGAGTGGTAATTCCAGAATGAAGACGTTATTCTCTATGTGCAACCGAACCAACGCTGATGAAAGCAATGTAGTTTAATGAAAAAGCTAACTGAGCATGTGCGCAGACAAAAACATACTCGCGCACCTCACGCACCGATCCTGCTTAACGCTGACGCACTGCTCTGGTGTAAGTCCGGGTTGTGAACATGCAAGCCAAAGAAACAGCCGCGCCGCTCATGCATTGTGAAACTGGCGTAACAGTATTTTATGAAGAGGTGTCGGCACTCAGTGAGTTTTGCAAGTCGACAAAACAAAGTTTATGTTATGTGATGGTGATTTTATTTAGACTAAGCATGTCTCCTGATAGATGTTTTGTATGCAGCAAAATAGAGGGTCAGATGAGTCAGGGAGGTAAGATTTAATAAACCTAATTATTTGCCATGAGTCGGGTCTAAGACAACACACAATAGGGAATTCTATAAAACATCTTTTTGTATTCTATAGTATTGTCTATAGAATTTAATTGTAATAAAATTAATATTCATGCAAAAGATTTCTTAAATTATCACTCCAGGTGTCTTTCGATTATTTTCCAGTTACATTTAGGATTAATTTCTTAATTCCTGTTATTTATTTAGAATAATAATTGATAATTGTATAATAACGATAATACTGTTATTTATTTATAATCAAATTTTTATAAAACAAATAAATAAATAAAAATAATAACAATAATATATACACACACACACACACACACACATGTAAATATATATATATATATATATATATATATATATTATTATTATTATTATTATATATTATTATATATTATTATTAGTTATTCTAAAAGATATAATGGAACAAAACACATTCTAATGTTTAAAATAAAATAAAAAACTACACAGTATTTCACTTTAATTGTTTTAGATGCTTGAAAACAAACCCCAATTCATCTGTGCCCCACATGCGAAAATCAGGGCATGTTTGGTTTCTGAGACTCTTTTCCCCGACTCTGCGCACGTCACTAAACAGCACATATTTTTGACCACCAGGCCACATCAACCACACTCAGAAGACAGTTTGTGCCTGTGTGACGTCAATAATAAACCTCGCACAATCTATTAAATCCTTCACAGACTGCTGCTTGAAAAATAGCATGACATTTATTGCTCTTATAGCTGCTCAGCGTCATCTTACCAACCTGCTTGAGTCATCACGATTACGTCTATAGTGTTAAAGTGTGATGTATAATTATGCTCTTTATAACCCAATGTAGGAGTGTGTGTACACTCAAAAAATGATTTGTGCTGCTTGTTCAAACTACTTAATTAAAATGATCTAAAACAACACAATTCTTGAGATTTTAGGGAGATTACTTAACTGTTTTATGTTCAAACAACTTAAATTTGTCAACTTAATCAGTGTACATACCTCTGATTGAGAGTCAGCGTGTCGTATCGAATGAACAACGGCGTGTAAAAGGCCTCGGTCAGGACAGCATAGATGGCAATCATGATGAGAAGGATCGCCAACTTCAAAACTGAATTCAGTCGGAGAAAAACCGCACAGGTCACCATCGCCAGCACTCCGGTAAACACGAAATACTGTCAACAAACAGCCAGACGACCTCTCCATTAACACCCATCGCTCCACTCGCACTGAATCAATTGATTACAAACAGTTTACACAAATGCTGGAATTCTCTCAGGCCTTTTAACAGGCTGAGATTTGCAAGAAGAAGCTGTGGATGTGTGTGTGTTTGTGTTTGTGTTGGAGGCGTCAGATGAAAAGACCTCTGGGTAGAAGCAGATATCTGGGATTGAGGCGGATGCATTAAACGTCTGGTTCCTGAATGAGCCCGATTTATCAAAATCACACCAAAGCTGCAATACAAGAGAGAGACAGACAGACAGGGCAAGTGTTTGAGAAGAGATGTATTCAGTGTATATGCATAAAGGGTAATAGAACTGCATGGGCACTAACTTTATGACTGTTGGGGTCATGATATTAGATTAATGGCTGATATTAAAATACTATAATAGTTTATTAAATTACTTATAATTAAAACATTTGACACATTTGACTGTTTTAAATGCTGCAATATCTTTGCATGGCATTGTAATAATATCAAAACAAGATTCTTTTACCAACAACAACAAAAGTGATAGCAAAATTACCCAAAATGGAAACACGGAGGAAGTAATTGAAAAAGAAGTATACATATATGATTAATATATTACTTTTTATTCTATATTTTATGATTGATATATTTCTATAAATTCTATAATTTCTATAATTCTCATAAAAATCACAATATTAATTTAACCATTTTTTTTTCTTATAGTAGGTAAATCTTCTGAATATATAGGTGCATCTCAATGCATGAGAATGTCATGGAGAAGCTGATTGATTTCACTAACTAATATATTATATGGATTTATTACATTTATTTAATTGTCTTTAGCTTTAAGTAATAATCATCAAACTTAAAAGTTGTAAACACTTGCAATATATTAATCTATGTGTTATTAAACTGTATAATAAATGAGTTTCACTTTTTGAACTGGATTCGTGAAATGAATCAACTTTTCGATGAAATTGAGATGCACCTGTATATATAACATAATTTAAAACATGTTTTGGCATATTTAAAAAACACTCTGAATGATAAAAATTTTATTTCAAATTTATACAAAAAAGTCAGAATTTTTTTTTATTATTCTAACCCATGAATACAAAATGAATACAAATTTTTAAATTTAGAGTGCCTGATGTGTAAAGTGTTTATATAACAATTCCAGGTTGTCACACTGAACTAAATGTCAAATTCTCTGACTTTCGCCTTACTTTCACTGACTAAAAAGCTGAATTTAAATGAATTAGTCTGCTTAATATCCGCTGATACTGCTCCTTCAACAGACATTTTACTGAGTATAAGAAACTTTTCAAGTAATTTAACAGTGTACTTTTAATCTAATGAGAATTAGTTGGCATGTACAGTAGATGCAATGTAACTTAAATTCAACAAATGGACCATCAAAATAAAGTGCGACCAATCAAACTATATTTTCTGACTTTCAATGTCTGCAACAGACTTTTTCAAATACTATTGGGAACCCTGTAATTTTGGCTCTATAAAGTTTAAATAAACTCTGCTTACATACAGAGGCTACCAGTCAGGCTTTACCACTTTATACTGTATATATTAATATTAATAATATAAAGAATTTTACTGTAGAAATAATATTACTGTATATAGTAATATTACTTTTCTAAATAATGAGTAAAGTAACACATTACTTAAAGAATTAGCTAATAATATCTTAGTTACTTTTTAAAAGATATAATACAAGTTACTTTAGTTTAATTAGTTAGCTTTTAAAAATAAATTGCAGAATTAAAATGAATATAGACAAAAATAGAATAGATTTCTGAAAGAGATCAAGCCTGGTAAGAAGTAGTGCAGAAGTAACTCAACAGTAATGTAACACATTATTTACCATAAAAAGTAAATAAGTAACGTAACTAGTTACTTTTTAGGTGGAGTAACTCAATATTGTAGTGCATTACTTTTAAAAGTAACTTTCCTCAACACTACTAATGCAAAAGTACAGTATAACGAAAAATATAAAAATAAAAAGTTTGCTAACTATATTGAGTAATTCAAAATATAACCCAAGATATAAAAATAAAATGTTTGCTCACTATGCTGAGTGACCCAAATGTAATTCAAATGTAATATAACGCATTACTTAATATAAAAAGTAACTAAGTAACGCAACTAGTTACTTTTTTGGGGAGTAACTAATTTCTACTTTCAAAAGTCACTTTCCCTAACATTGCTGATGACATGTGCAAGAGTACAGAAGAATAAAATAATAAAAATAAATAATTCACTCACTATGTTGATCATGGCAGCCAGAAAGTTAATAAGGATGGACAGGAAGATGACGACGTTCCGCGCGGCGTAGGTTTCATTCACCCAGCAGCACGCTTTACGCAAAACCAGCGGCAAACACTTGTAATCCTCGGCAGTGGTCACAACAACAAGGCAGCAGTGCAGCAGGATGAGGACAGAGAACTGGATCAGCATCGTTACCATCCTGCACACACAAGAGAACACACAATGTAAAATATTCTTGGTGCATTACATTTTTTTGAGTTGAATCAAAATAATGTTTCAGTCATCTCAACGTACAGTTGAAGACAATGATTTACCCTCTTGTGATTTTTTTCTTCTTTTTAAAATATTTCACAAATTATGTTTAACAGAGCAAGGAAATTTCTACAGTATGTCTGACAAAAGATTTTATTCTGGAGAAAGTTTATTTGTTTAATTTCGGCTAAAAAAAAAGACAGCTTTTAACTTTTTAAGCCATTTTAATGTCAATATTATTAGCCTCCTTAAGCATTTTTTCCCCAATTGTCTACAGAACAAACTAGCATTATATATTGACTTGACTAATTACCCTAACTTGCATAATTAACCTAGTCAAGCCTTTAAATGTCACTTTAAGCTGAATGCTAGTATCTTAAAAAGAAATCTAGTAAAAAATTATGTACTTTCATCATGGCAAAGATAAAAGAAATCAGTTATTAAAACCATTATGCTTAAAAATGTGTTGAAAAAAAAAAAAAAACTCTCCATAAATCAGAAATTGGGGAAAAATATATATTGAGCTAATAATTCAGAAGGGCTAATAATTCTTACTTCAATTTTATGAAAACAAACTCACTAAAATATTAACTTACACTTTGTATAACTAAAAAATGTCTTGAAATCTGATTAACCTATTAAAATAAGTTCAAATAACACAAAATTATTTGTTGTTATGATGTTTTGTTATATAATTTTTAATATAAAAGTCTTGTGTGCATTGTAAAAAGAGATTATTTAAAAAGTGAGTGAACCCATTGCCTTAAAAGTGGCAAGTGGATTTTACTTTAAAAAGTTTTCTGTTGTAACTTAGAAATATTAAGTTCACCTGACTTAATTATAATAATTATGCAAATACACACACAAAAAAAGATTCACTGAATTTTTAAATTTTTTTATTTAAGTGGTTGCAAACAATTTATTTGGGCTGAATTTGAACAAACAATAGAAGTTGAACATTACTAAATTTAATTTGTTTGTTTAAATTCAGCTTAAATAAATGGTTTGCTTACCTTAAAAAAATAGTAAATCCATCATTCATTCATTAATTTTCTTTTCGGCTTAATTCCTTTATTAATCTGGGGCCACCACAGCGGAATGAACCACCAACTTATCCAGCATATGCTTTACGCAGCAGATCACGTTCCATCTGCAACCCAGTTCTGGGAAACACCCAAGCACACTCATTCACACTTACACTACAGACAATTTAGCTTACCCAATTCACCTATACCACAAGTCTTTGGACTTGTGAGGGAAACTGAAGCACCCGGAGGAAACTCCACACAGAAATGTCAACTGTCACAGCCGAGGTTTGAACCAGTGACCTTCTTGCAGTAAGGCGACTGTGCTACCCACTGCACCACCGTGACGCCCTAGAAAATCTAATCAATTCCTTTTTTTATAGTAGTTAATTTACTTAATCATTTTAATATAATTTTAACTTTTTTTTTTTACGTATAGTCAACTAATGGCTTTTTCCAGTGTGTGATACTAAAAACATCTCAAACACCACTTGAAAAGTAACCTATATGTAAATATATATTTGTGGAAAAATATATAAATATATACACAACACTGCATATTTAGGTCTTCTGTGTTTTTTTTGCTGAAATGGCCATTACAATACCCATAAAACGATTTAAATATCTGCAGTCATGATTACGTTCAATAAACCTTTAATCGCAGATAGCATGGGAGATCGATATTATTGAAGTTATCATGTAATATATTGACACTATGCCAGAGAGATGTGCTGCTGTATTTTCTGCAAAGGTGGACATAAAAAAACAGATGAAGTCAGCCGTTCTGTTTGTATCCACTTTTAGAATATTGTAATATTTAGTAAATTACAGTTAAAAGTATATAAGAAACAGTAAATGGAGAAAAATATACAGGGGGCTAATAATTAAGAGGGGCTACTAATTATGATTTAAACTGTATGAAAACAAACTCACTAAAATATTAACAAAAAAATTGAGTTGAACCCTCATTAATCATTAAAATAAGTTCAAATAATGTAAAAAAATCTGCTGTCATGACTTTTTGTCGAATCATCTTTTACATGAAATTCTTGTGTGTACTGTAAAAAGCAATTACTTAAAAAGTGAGTAAACCCATTGCCCTAAAAGTGACAAGTTGATTTTACTGTACAGTAAATGAATTTAAAAGTATTTAAATAATAAAATAAAGTAAAAAAATAAATAAATAATAAAATAGAATAGAATAGAATAAAAAATAAAATTACATTAAATTAAATTAAATTAAATAAACAAATTAAATAGAACATTACAAAAATTAATAAAATTCTCAAAAAAATCGCTCTTTCTCAGATATGATTCTTTGGATTTGCTATTGTTTTTTAATTTAAATTTGGACTGAATATAAACAAACAAATTAAGTTGAACAATACTGAAGTTAATATGTTTGTTTAAATTCAGCCCATATACATTGTTTGCAACATTTAAAAAAAAAAAAAAAATTTTTTCAGAATAGATGAACAACACATAATATTATTGAATTTCGTAAATTACTGATAAAAGTTCCTCCAAATTAGAAATAAGCGTTAACATTTTTCTGCATCCAATTTGCCAAAGCTTAAAATAACAAACAAAAAGAGCTATGCTTCTTTAAAATCATTTTTAGAAAACACAATACCAATGTTTGATTATCAGAAGCATTAAGAAATCTATATTTGACAGAATAACCCTGATGTTTTTATTTGAATACAAAAACTTTAACATTTTATTAGCAATTCTAAGGGACGTTTCAATTTTTCCCTACCAAAAGTTGACTCAACTTAAAATTTTTGGCCAAGCAGCTGCAAGAATTTTTTTAGTTTATTCAATTTAAATAGGGTCAAGTGCAGTACTCATGTCAAAAGCTGAGTCAACTCAAAAAAAGCTTTACAGCAAGTTGCCTTACAATTTTGAGTTTAATCTACTTTTTTTTGTTTGTTTTTTAAACAGTGTAGCTGTATACAGATTGTGCACAATTGTCTATACACATATGTATAGTTTACCTTGCAGAGGGAAGTAAGCTCTGTATTCCAGTGATGAAGAAGAGAACAATGAAGGCACACACTAGATTTGACTTAAACACCTCATCTCTCATCTGGGAATACTGTAAAAAAATACACACACAGAAAAGTAAGGAGAAAAAAAACATCCTCTTCATATGCGACCACACTGACCACACCATGAAAGCAATGCTAACCACGTAGGAGAAAGCAGGGTAGGCGCTCAGACACACACACGCACACACACAAGTACACATACAGTCCTGTGCTTTTGGGGTTAGTGAGAAGATGTGCGATTTTAAAGGCTGGAGAGAAAGTCAAGCACAAAGTGGCACAGCCAAAGGCCAAGCAGGGGCAAAGATCAACCCAATGAGCAGAAATGAGGTGAGGGAGAAATAAACAGAGTGAAAATTGTGTGTTTTAACTGCTGTAGGATGACAACATGCATGGATGTGGATCATGAGTAATCTGAAGGCCCTTCTGTGGGGACGTCCCAGATGCTCAGGATGATTTAATGTTCAAGATCAACTGGGTTCATCAGTGATGGTGATTAAAACCATTCACTTTGGAGGCCAATCCAATCAGCCGAATTTATGAGGTCATTATCCTAAGTGTTGATTGGGATTTACTCTTTTTCTTTCTCCGAACTGGCTGAGAGGATCAGAAAAGACCTATTTTTGTTAAAACTTTTTCCATTCCGTTGGAAAATCCAGCTAGAATTGGTGGCAGAGGGTTTTTATTTGGTCAATTGTTTGCTTGGTTACACATTTTTTCCTCGGTATGCTGGTGCTTTGTTGAGGAGGTTTTCTATATCACCAGATATGAACATTATTGAGCATGTCTGGGGTAAGAGGAAAGAGGAGGCATAAAAGATGAATCCAAAGAATCTTGATGAACTCTGGGAGTCCTGTAAGAGCACTTTATTTGTCATTCCAGATGACTCTATTAATAAGTTATGTGAGTCATTGCAAAGATGTATGGATGCAGTTCTCCAAGCTCATGGAAGTCATACACAATAGTCATTCTTTTTCCATTGCATTATGACTTTATCTTCTATACTGTACCTTATTTCTGTTAATTGATAAGACTTTTGTCTAAGCAAAGTCAGACATTTACTGTCCTAATTAAATAATAAAAAAATCAAGGTATGATCATATTTTATTTTGGTAAAATAAGGGTATTCTAGAGGCCTTTGCCTTTCATATAAGACACTTCTGATGCCAAATGATCAACTAGAAGTCATGTTTTTACAGTTACATTTTGTTTCCTGTTTCAGATGACAAATCCACTAGAGAGCAGTGTCTAGATTTTTGCAAATCTGAAATACATAACTTATGGTACTTTTTTTTTGTCAATAAAGTGTCTCTGTAAACATAATAAGTGTAAAAAGGAAGACAAGTTGGTTGCATCAACCTGCTTGTAGCATTTATTTTACCTCAAAACTGCAGTCAGATGTACGTTTAATGTATGTTTTTGTGGTTTCACAAAAATGTAGGCTGAAGCAAGTATCACTAATGAGCCTTCAAACTAATATAACAAAGTAAATACTAAATAATAACAAAGTTTAAATATCATCTGGGTGGCAGATTTGAACAACAACTAGTTTGTTGCGATTCCACCTAACTTAAGTAATTTTCAAAGACTTTAAGCACCATTTATTCATTTATTTTCCTTCAGCTCAGCCCCTTATTTTTCCGGGGTTGCCACAGCGGTATGAACTGCCAACAGCACCATTTATCATTATTCATTATTCTGGTATTTCATATTTTACAAGAATATGAACATAATAGATAAAAACGCAAATTGATACAGAGAACAGAAGCTTTTGTTTCCAGCTCAGGCCTTTTTGGAAAAATAAAACGTTTCTACAGGTACATTTCATTGCATGTTTCAGACACTGTCTACATTTTTGCAAATCTGAAATACATTACTTATGGTATGTTTTGATGTATATTTCATTTGCATCTCCATTTATTTGGTGTTGTGCAAAGAACTGCACAAAAATGTGATTTTTTTTTTTCCATTTATGTCTGTAAATATAACTATTTTACCTCAAAACGGCAGTCAGATGTATGTTTAGTATGTTTTGTGGTAACACAAAAATGTAAGTTGAAGCATGTACTGAATCACTAATGAGCCTTCAAACCAATTTCTGTAGAGAGCAACGTTTAAATATCGTCTGGTTGGCAGATTTGAACAACAACTAAATGTTTAAGAGTGGCGTCAATAGGCAGAGTACAGTAGGAGTCTTTAGTGGCTGTTTAAAAGCAATCGACCACATGTGTCTACATCAGTGTTTCCCAACCCTGCTCCTAAAGGCACACCAACAGTACACATTTTCAACCTCTCCCTAATGGACTCTTTTCACAAGACTGTTGTGACATTTAACAGTCATCATAATCTTTAATGCTTGAAAGTTTAAAATATTTCGATTTTAAAAAATCTATGTACATTCATGTGTATTTATTTATATATTAAACAATCTTTGCATCAAATTACAAAAAGCAAATTACCTCATGTGTAAGGTGTTTCTAATGAAGCATTTATTGGTGTGGGACAGTAAATTTGACGTTGTTCTCTCTTCTGGCTGCCGTAATAAGACTCACACTATTTTTGTAATTTTTTTTTGAAAGTCTTGATAACACCATTGTAGAGTTTTTCTTTTATTATTTTAGCTAATAGGATTGCAAAAAAGGTATTGGTGTACTCTCCCATTCACTGCGCTCTATGTTTACCCAACTATGATGAGTTCCGCTACTGAGAAACCCAGAAATGTGAAAAGGGTCCATCAAGCACACCTAAATCAACCCATCAGATTATTAGAAGAGACTCCAAAACCTGCAATTAATGGGTCAGATAAGAGAGGCTTTCAAAGTATGTACTGTTGGTCTGCCTCCAGGAACAGGGCTGGGAAACACTTGTCTACATTATGAAAGCAATCCAATTGAATCTCTGGAAGTGTTTGAAAATGGAAATGCTCAAAACATTTACAGTAAGACTCCATTTATATTGCAAAACTGCCAACGAGCTAAAAGAAATGACCATCTTTGACCAACAAAAAAGCAGCCACCATTCTCCCCCAAAAAAAACAAAAACAGCTGGACGACCTTAGCTTGATTTCTGAGATGGGATATAGTAATTGAGAGCATTTTAAACCACTGCGTGAGCTCTGAGAGGTATCGATTGGCATCACTGGCACAAAATGTCCTTTAGTTTACTCATGACAAAAACACCCTCTCGCCTCCTTCTCCAGCACCTCAAAACTTAAAGAGGAGAGAGTGCGAGAGAGAGAGGGGACAGGACGGCTGGAAGATGGGAGCAGGCTACCTTGTGCTCCAGCAGTGCTTCTCTAAAGGTGAGAGAGAAGGGGGAGATATGTTCTTGGCGGAGCTTGTCCCCGCTGCGCAGGGCGATGGTGCTCTGCATGCGAGCGTTAATTTCCTGTGAGCCGGCGCGCACATGCAGGGCTTGAGCCAGGTGGTTGGGGAGCAGGTTAATGGAGTGACGTGTGAGCGCAGCCAGAGTCTACAGAGGAAAAGCACATGCAGCGCCCATGAGTCTAAGAGTGTGTGTGTGTGTGTGTGTGTGTGTGTGTTTGTTGTGTGTGTGTGTGTGTGTGTGTGTGTGTGTGTGTGTGTGTGTATCTGTTCATTCAAGAGCTCTGCACAACATGAACGTATGAAAATCAAAGACTGCACAACACACATGCATGTTTACTTAGATAAATGAGGACAAACTACAGACTTTTTAAACATAATTAACCCACAGTCTACTCCCGCAAGAAAACATTTGCATTATTTAATCATTTATGAACTGCCGAATGTCCCAAAAGGAGCTTTTTTGCCAGATTTAGTTCACTTCTAATGACAATTTTGTCCCTAAATGACAGCTAAGCACACACACACACACACACACACACACACACACACACACACACACACACACACACACACACACACACACACACACACACACATAACATGATTATTTTTTATTTTTTGTACAGGGGATGCTCTGGACTGTAAGTAATAGGCTTTTCTAACTGCCTACAGCTCAGGCCATCTTTTAGAGTGGATATACAGTAAAAATAAAATATATTAAAATCTACACACCCATGTCTAATTCTCTTGCCTTAATGCCGAAAGCTGGACCTTTCATATTAGATATTTTAAGGATCTTAATATGCTGCTGCAAGCTGAAAAGTTATTTAACTAAATTAACCAAAAATGCAACCAAAATGAACAAAAATGCCCGATAAATTGGGCAGAAACATGACTCAAGAAAGATCATACGCATTAACGCTTTATATAACCTGCAATGGTTCACAATGTTAAGCAGAAGAAATTGTACTTTACATCCACAGCACATATTATACACTGACTACGTTTACATGAACAACAGTAATGGAATTATTTGCCTTAATCTGAATAAGACAATAATATGATTAAAGTGTTTACATGAGTTACTGTTTGAATGTTCCTGTCATGATCCCATGTTTTACGTGTGATCCCATGTACAGCCGCGTGTGTACTAGGCATGGGCCGGTTCTGACGTATGATAACCTTGGATTAAAATACTGCTCTAAAATACATTCTTTTTAAAATGTCTGGGTAAAAAATAAAAACTTTTTTCCCCTTTGAACACAATATATTTTATTTTGAGAAACATTTAAAATATTTTGGAATCGTAAACATGTTAGGCCAAATGAACTATTGACTTCTGCTGTCTTCATTTGTTTCAAAAACACAGATTTCTTTACAATTAAAAATGTTGTCTTTTCCGCTGTAGATACTGTTGTCCTAAAAACACAAACAAAAACAAAAAGAAAAAACATTTAACAATCATACATATACCTTGGGAATGGTTTAGCAGAAAATTTTGACGGTTTTAAAACCTTGACTTTTCCAAACTGCGGTATACCTTGAAAGCGGTTATTGTCCTATGCTTAGTGTGTACAGATTATCCTGTTGCAAAATGTGGCAAAAAATTCTACACAATGGTAATAGTTTAATTGCGGTGTCGACCTTAATTGGATTCAATTAATCAAAAACCGCTGTTTAAATGGTGGACTCTTAATCAGAGTATTGTCTAAGGGTGCTACCTAGACTTTTGCTTTGGAACCTGGCGTGTTTCCCCAGTAAGTGTGGTTCATTTAGCAAATGTGAATCCAGCATTTGTGCTCTGATCCTTGCCAAAACAATCGGGCCGAGATTGCCTAAATGAGATGGTCTCGGCCCGATTGAAACGAACTCTTAACTGAATCAACTGTAGTGAGAAAGCAATACGATCCAACAAATTAACTGACCAGCACTATCACAGTGTATTATGGGTATGTAATAGGCATATATGGCTACATTAAATGAAGAATAAATTATGAGTAGGGCAGGATGTCATTCCTACTGGTTATTGTGTGCTTTATGTTTAATACGATTTAAATATAATGTAACGCTTAGCTATAAAGCATAATTCTAGCTAACTGTTATGCATGAGAAAGTCTTACCTCTGATTTGTAGTTGGTGATGATGTCTGTGGGTGTCACCATTTAAAATTAAAGTGCAGCTTTAAACTTATGATGTCTTATTGCTCACAGTCATAAATTTAAATTACTGTATATTAAGGACGCATGACAGCTGAACGGGACTCTGAAAAATAAACCGACATTCTGAGGAGAGTTCACTCTCACAAGACTTGTTCTTACTATTTTGATCCATTTAGAAACTTTGCAGTGTGAAAGCGAACCGAACCAAGAACATAAATAAACATTGCAACAATTTTAATCCCTGTTTCAGAACAAAACAATCGATCTACAAGTGTGAATGCACCCTTAATCGTATTAAAATAGGAGTATTTGTGTCGAGCTAAATGTACTCATTGAAAACTAGGTCATTTATGCAGTTTGGAGAATAGAAATAAATGTGACTTGATACAAGCTGACATATGATTTTGACAACAAATATTTGAGAGGTTTACATGAAGAAAGGGGTTAAATAAAGATTTCACTAGTATTACACCACCCAACAAGATGAATTTAATGAGAAATGGCATGAGCAGGACCTGGCTAAGTTCAGGCCACTCGACTAAACCAGATGACTGCAAAAGAAAACAGAGGAAGACTGAAAAAAAAAAAAAAAAAAAAAATATATATATATATATATATATATATATATATATATATATATATATATATATATATAAAAATATATATATATATATATAACATGGCTATGTTCCAAACCCTAATGATTTTTACTGTTTACACAAGTATCTCAATTGACCGAAAAAAACTTTGCATAGAAAGCAACATCCAACAAACCCAAAAAAGCACTGATTAGACACCAATACCCACAATACCAAACAAACTCGCACACTTTCAAACAGTACATGTAGTGTGGAAATAGACTAATTCCACTGTCGAACTAGATAATTTTGCAGATTAGTCATGTCACCTTTGTGTAAATGTGACAGACATTCAAACAGAGGAGAGCAAAATGTTAGAAAACAAGAGCATTAAATTAGCATGTTGCTAAGCTAATAACTTAACGCTGAGACAACACACACAAGTATTTGAAACAGCAATTAATGTAAATTTCTGATCTTTTATGTATTCCTTGAAAGGTTGCTTTGCCAATTCATAAAATAAAAATATAAATGCCTACTTTAAACCAGAAGCAACAAACCTTTCTGTAGCGTAGCACTAGCACTGTCAAAGGCTGTTTACATAGAAGAATGAGAGAAGACCTCCATGTTTGTGGGTCAGCAAACACATTTCATTGCAGCAAACCCAGTAATAGCCATGTACTGTATGTCACATATGCGAACTGGATGTAAAATTAAAGCTTTTTTGCTCTCCATCATAGCCCAGGCATGAGTTGTATTGTATTTGAGCGTATTTATCAGCGTAAATGTCAGCACAGGGGTAGAGGTCACATGGAAGGATGACTAGCTGAGCATATGGCTTAAACAAGGTCTGACACAGACGTTTGATTTTGTTTTGACCGTTGAAAGTATCCGTAAAGAGGACCATCATCTGTGCCGTGAGCTGAGGCTGCGGTCACTGTAAGCCGTGAGTCATATTGGAGAAACACTAGAATTATAAAACTCGCTCTCAGTGGACTATTTGCACAGAACTGTGCTTTATATATTAATAATAGAAATATACAATCACCGGCCACTTTATTAGGTACACCTTATTAGTATTCCTCAGAGATTTTGGTCTATATTGACATGATAGCATCAAGCAGTAATTGGTCGGCTGTACATCCATGATGCTAATCACCCATTCCACCACTTCCCAAAGGTGCTCTATTGGATTGAGATGTGGTGACTGTGGAGGCCTTTTGAGTGCAGTTACTCATTGTCATGTTCAAGAAACCAGTCTGAGATGATTTGTGCTTTATGGCATGGCACGTTACTCTGCTGGAAGTAGCCATCAGAAGATGTTGATGCCAAATTCTGAATCTACTATCCAAAAGTTGCAACAGAAATCGAGACTCATCAGACTAGCCTGCGTGAATTGTAGCCTCAGTTTCCTGTTCCAGCCCATCTGGCACCAACAACCTGGTTCAAGGTCACTTGAATCACCTTTCTTCCCTATTCTGATGCTTGGTTTGAATTGCAGCAGATTGTTTTGCATTAAGTTGCTGCCATGTGAATAGCTGATTAGAAATTTGCGTTAACAAGCAGTTGGACAGAAGTACCCAATAAAGTGGCCAGCGAGTGTATAATGGCCAACAAAAGTATTCTGGCATTTAAGTTATTGTTCAGTCTAAAATTGGTTGTTTATTTATGATTTAGGCCAATTAAGTGGACTGTGGGTTACTTTATTCTTTAGTGTAAGCGTGTGTGTGTGTGTGTGTGTTGACAGGTGCATGAGAGCCATGTAACATAACATCCATGACCTCAATTAATCTGAATTTGTTTATTCAAAAGTGCTGACTTTGGTTTCAACAAATCCTAATCTTTTGATATATCATCACCTTGGTATTATAAGGTTCTGTCTGTGTTCTGATTGATTTTGAGATATTGAACTTCAAAGTTTTTGCATTCCATATAGCAAACAGTATGTGTGTAACATTTTTTTTTTAATAAAAAGTCTTAAAATATAAACAACTTATATCAAACATCCTATAATGTAAATAAGTTGTCATTTAATAAGAATATGTCAGTAACTCAATGTTTACAAAAATGTCAGATAGAAAGCTATAATTCTAAGGTAACAACATCTTGAGGACCAAATCATCATTTTGTCACACTAAAGAATAGGTCTCAAACTCAATTCCTGGAGGAATTCCAGCTCTGCAAAGTTTTGCCCCAACTCTAATCAAACACAGCTGATCCAACTAATCAAGGTGTTCAAAACTATGAGACACTACTAGATCAGCTGTGTTTGATTAGGGTTGGAGCAAAGCTGTGCAGAGCTGTGGCCATCCAGGCATTGAGTTTGAGACCTATGTACTTAAGAAAAGGGTAATGTGTGCTAAATTGACAGCGTTGATGTCAAATAAATACATTACATTTTAAAATAT